GTTCATTTCATATATTTTGATATACGTTCAAAGATAGTAATACACGAGCTCGAGTAACATGTATCAGAAAATACTAGTAACATAATAAAAGGAATGATTGTAGTTAATTATTTATCTTTTATACGGAAATTGTCTGTATCGAACATTTTAATTCTACATATTATTGCTTTAGAATATCAGAAATCCAATTTCATGTAAACAATTATTTGACAAGGATCTTTTTTCATGCCTAATTAATACCATTCATAATTTATTTCACACACATTCTATTCAGATAATATTAAAAAGCATTTAAAGTATGTTTTAAAAAAAACCTAATACACGAAAAGAAAAAATTCAAAACAAAAAAGAAAAGAACGTTTATTGATGACGTTCAATTGACGATGTAGTTGTATTCGGAGTAAATTGATGAAATTTTCGTTTTTCATATTCATATCTGATTGGATTATTTAGAATATCATTACGAGAAAATTCATCAAGACCACCACGATTAAAATATTCATCTTCATCATCTTCATCTTCATCCATATTAGCCATTTGTAAACCTTTATACCATGGTGCTCGTGCATGTTTAAGTGCTTCAGTATGTGCTTGTCGAGCACGATAACGAATTGCTGATGATGGATGATTAAGATACTTTGCTGCTTGATCAAGTTGATTTATTGATGAAATTCTTTCATTACTTGGTTCCATAACAGATTTTAATTTTGGATAATCTAGAATAGAAAAAAGCAAATATTTGAAAAGAGTTTAAAAGAAAAAAAAATCATTGATTCAATTGTTGTACTTGAAAGAAGAAATTCTGAATCATTGTTCATCATATGAAGTAATAAACGTTGCCGTTGTTCAATTCTACGCCATGCTCGATTTGTAGTTACATAACGATTAAGATTTTCTTGTGCACGTGTATGAAGTGCAAGAAATTCTTCATCAGACATTGCTCTTGGCTAAAAAAAACTCAATATTTAAGAAGAAATGTTTTTTTTTATTTGAAAATTACTGCTCGTTCACTTCTCCATGTCTCAATTTGTTCAAGTAATTCTTCACGTTTAGCTTCAGTAAGAATTGCTGGTTTAATATATTCCAATCGTTTTTGACGTCGATCAAGTTCAGCTTGTTTTCTTTGAAGATAACGACGAAATGTACGTTGTATACGACGTGCAGCACGATCAGCAATAAGACGATCATAACCACTATTAACTAGAGTACGTCGTTGTAAATAACCACGAAAAATTGCTTGAATCTTTGTTGCACTACGTAAACGTTGAATTTCGAGATATTTTTCTACTTCAGCTAAATAATAAATCATTTTAAAATAGAAATTTTTATTTATTTGAAATTTATTTACATGCAGGTAACAATTGAATAGTTTGTACTTGTTGAAGTTTAAATTGACGTAAACGTCGATAATGTTCACGTGTTGCTTGATATTGAACTTCAGCTCGTTCACGTTGTTCGTTTTTCATTTGAGTTTCTTTCATTTTTCTCTTTCTTGAAAATAAAATAGATTTTAATTAAAAAGATCAAATACAAGAAAAATAATAAAGAATTAAAAAAAAAACAACAACAACAAAACCTAAAACTATTTTGAAATTGTTTCATAGCTTGATTTGCTTTCATCAATCGCTTTCTACTTGCATAACCTCGCCATAATGCTTGAATTCTACTTGCAGCATAGTTTTCCCTCTAAAAATAATTAATAAATTACAGCAAAGAAAAAAAATCAATGAATAATCATACATGATATTCACGTGAATAAGGTCCACTTTTCGCACCACGATTTATTATAGCAAGTAAATCTTGTAAATCCATTCCAAAACCTCGACCATGCCATCGTTGTAAAATTGTAGGTAAACCTCTAATAATAAAAATATCAATACATTTAGCAAGTAAAGTTTTGAACAATCAATAATACATACTTGAATTTATCGACTAATAACATAACAATTTTTGAATCAGCTTCACATATAGCAATTAAAGCACGTACAGCTGCTCTAAAAGAATATTTAATATCTAGTTATATAAAGTAAAATATTTCTTGAATATATGAAAAAATAGATTTCAGAATATAAACTTCTTTATTAGTTTTAAAGTCATCAGCGAGCATTCTCTGTATTATCGATTTTCTTTCATTTGAATATTTATGAATCCAAAAAATTTTCAACAGCATACAAAACTTTACTTTATTTCATAAAGTCTCGTATTATGGTTTCAGTTTCGATATATATGTGAATTTGATGAATATTGTTGTACAAGTCATCTCAATGTATATTTATCAAGTTTTATAACATTAAAGCTATTAAATTATCGTTTAATACTATGATTTTGATTTGTATGATAATTATTTAAATATTGTTTTTTATTTCGTTTTAAGAATATTGGATACAGAATCAAGTGAGATATTCGATTGTTCAACTAATTCACATTATCATTAGGTATCATCATCGTTGTTACCATTAATTAATTGAATTTTTTCATTTAATGTAAGACGATGTTGTGATATCATTGCTTTTCCTGATATGTACAGTTATAACAAGTAATGAGCAGTAGTTTTAGTGCATTAATCAGAAATGATGAAAAGGAGAGGGAAAAAACATATATATTCATTTGAAACAGGGTAAAATAGTAATCGAAATCAGAGATCTCAATGGGTCGAGCCGGATCGAAGAAAGTCGGTCCAGCTCATGGTTTTTTTCTTAAAAAATGGCCCGTCCATGAACTATTTATCTAATTGTATTGGATAAATTTTTAACACATGAATGAGCAAGCATATTTTGAGTACGCGTAGTTGATGTATAAACAAATGTTCGGTAACATATTGAACAACTTGAAAAATCTTGAATTCTCTCGAAATCACTAGTGATATCTGATTTTTTAATTGAAAAACTAAAAACTTTCCAACATAATGATATTTTTGGTTTTTCATTTTTAATAACAACATATGTCGATGGTTGTTGTTTCAAAAGAAATTTGATTCGTTCGGATGTATCCTATTTTGTATGTGATGATGAATCGACACTTGTAGTTGAAGAAAAAAAGTATTAGCAAAAATTGATCATTGAGAAGATTCAATAAGAATAGAATTAGAATTAGAAAATGTAATTGATGATCATGATGCAATTGTTGATGAAATAGAAGAGATTAGCAATAATATTTTTTTTTTTAATATAAAGAAAGTTTTTTAAGGTGACAATAATTTTTATCTTTTTCTTTGTTTTGCTTTATATATTGCTGTTCATTGCAGAAATATTTTAGTCAATGAAAGAATTACGTGAGATTTTCGAAAAAATAAATTAGTAGAAATACGTAACATCTTTTGAAAATTTTATATTTTATTTAAGATTTGGCCCATCGCAATATCGAGTTATTTGATCGAGACCTTTAAAAACAATGTTCAAATTTAGAGTACGGAAGTGTTCTCATATGGGAGATGCCTTTCCAGCAACAATTGGTTCAAGGGATCGAGACCTTGTTCCAAATGGGAGATGTTCATCGTAGATGATGAATTAGTTTTTGTATGTTTAGAATACAATCAATATAAATTGTGCTAATGTATTTTAATCTAATGAAAAATTCTCTGCTTTTAAATTCAAATAGATTTCAAAATATCTTAATCAAATTAAGATCGATTTGATTTTCATGCTAATAATAAACTCACTTTCCAACATCATTATTATCAAATACAGTTAATTTATACGCAAGTTCATTGACATAATCATGTTTTAATTTAGTTGATAATTCATAAAATACACTTGGACCTGTTAAACGTCTATTAAAATAAAATATGACTGGTTTTTTTATTTTTATTAAAAATAAAATTTTAATATTAAACCTGCTCTTTCGAATAATATTTTCAAAAGTATCAATCATTAATCGACAAATATAAACATCATCTGTAAGAAATAATTCCATAAATTTTGGCGAAACCAAAACTAAAATATTGATTATATTTAATTTTATATAATTAGTGAAAATTAAATTTAAAATATTCACCTTGTTTAATAAGTGAATATTGATTGGAATGAAAACTTAATACTTCAAGAAGATTATTCATAACTGTGTCCATATAACTCACGTAATCTTGTCGAATATGAGACTAACAAATCATTAATAATAATTTATCTGATAAATATTAAATAAAAAAAGAACAACTTGTCTACCTTTTTCTCTTGTGTATATCGATCTTGTATATGTCGTGTAAGTAAAAGAAAACTATCAATACCTTGTGGAAGATATTGATCAAAAAATTTACTTGACCATGCTTTGGTTTTAACATTATTTTTATCTACTTCGACACACATACATGAACTAAATAAAATAATACATCATGGAATAAATAAAATTCTAATTCTAATTCTAATTCTTTTTGTTTTGTTTTACCAAGCTAATTTACTAAGACTAATTGAAGCTAAACGCCATCCATTTGATATTGTTGTAAAATCTTGTCGAAGTGTTAATAATAAAATAGGTAATATATCAAGTGAAATTATTTCATATTTAACACTTGTAACTGATGTTGATCGTTGTAAAAGATCTAGTGATATTTATTAAATAGTTTTAAAAAAATATTCATTTTCAATAAATAATAGAAACCTACTATCAAGTTGTAGAAATTTTTCAGGTAATTCTACTGGTTTCGTTCGACTTAATTCTTTAGCAAATACAACTAAATTTGAATTCATCTTTCTTTTTTTTTTATCTAAAAACGAAAAATTCAGTTTTCTTTTCTTGATATGGATACATTTTGAGTTTATTTTTTCATAACATACATATTATAATACAAAAATAACCTAATTATATGTTAGAATAATATTTTCCAACATATTCTACAAATTCTAATTAAAACGACAAAATATCTGACTAAATTTCAGAAAATAAAAAAAAACTGAACAAAAATTTTTGAATATATTTCACTGTGTAGCCTGAGATAGACAAAAAAAAATGATCTTATTTATAGATTGTTAACAAGTGTATGAATAACAAAAAAAAGAAAGAAAAAGTTATGAAACAGATGATGTTTCGTGTAGATGATGATGATCATTATTGAAACCAAATGATTCTGCATGATGAATAGGTTGACTCCATGTTGTTGATTCAATATGAGTGGCTCTTGGTGGAGTAGGACTTGGTGAAGAACGCGCACTTGTCTAAAGAAATTTGATTAATGTATTTTTTTTTAAAGATAAAGGTTTTGAGAAAGAAAAATTACTTCAATTGAAATATTGCTATCAAATCGGACACTATTTATTTCTCGACGAAGTTGATTTCGTTCACGTAATGTTCGATCAACACGATCGTTTAGATTTTCCATTTGATCTTCGAGTAATTGAATTTTTGATGTCAATAGAAGATTTTCGCGACGCATTTCACGTACTTTTGCATCTTTATCGACCATACTATCAAATACGTAATAGAAATAATTTTTAATCAGATTTTATTAAAAAAAAAATAAAGAAACAGGAGTGTTTTAATAGATAAAGAAATTCCTAAATGAGAATGGTGTGTTTTCTTTAGTATTTTGGGTAGAATATTAAAAGAGAAGAGAAGTTTTAAGTATTTGCAATTTAAAGCAAAGAGAACAGAGCTAATAGCATGGAAGAAAAAAGTGTTGTAGCAACAATATATAAGTACAAGCATTAATTGTGTAAGTGAGGAGAATAAATATTAAAAAAAAAAGTGTCAACAATAAAGTGCGTAGAAGACTTGCCTATAGAAAGTGATATTACTAATAAGATGTGGATGCGTGTGAAGTTCATCAACAGTAGCAACAGTAGAAAAAGGAATATGAGCAGAAACATCAATATCCAATATTGGTGGATTGTACCTTGTAAGTAATTGTCTTCGTTCATCAATTAATTGTTGATATGCAGATTCTTGATTTAGTTTTAATTCTGTATCTTTTTCAAGTAATTGTCGTGTTTCATGTAAATCTTTTTGAACATTTTTAAGATGTTCAAAATATTTATTTTTAGTACGTTCAAATATTCCTCTAAAATAACAAGAAAAACAAAATAATAATAATAAAATAAACTAATTAGAAAATTAATTAAAAAAAAAACAATAGGAAATACAAACCGTTCTTCTTGTAAACGTTGTTTATATTTTTCTTTTGTTAATTCATAATTTTTTTGTAATTGTTCAACTTTTTGTTGATATGTTCGACATTTTAATTGCCAATGTTGATTTTCAGATTTTTCTTTTAAATACAATTGAACAGCAGCTGTTGATTCTTTTTCATTTGGCTAATATTAAATATGACAAAATAAAGTAATAGCAAAAGAAAAAAAAAACGAACAAATTATACATACAGATTTTAATGAATTAAATGTTTGAGTTGTAATATGTAAATTATAATCATTTTTAAATCGACATTCAACAAGTTCATGTTGTAATGTATTATTGTCTTCAATACGATTATAAAGTTCTTTACGTACATTAATATATTCATCTTTTAATCGTTTTAATTTCATTTCAAGTCTTTGTCTAAATCAAAAAGAATTATTTTTAAGGAACTAAAATCGATAAACTTGAAATCAATACCGTTTAAGTTTTTCTTCTTCAATTGTATGTTGTAATATTGTTATTTGATCTGATTTAGTAACTAATTCAGCTCTTAATAAACTTAATTCACGTCTTGCTGGTTCTGTTGTTTCATTTAAATGAGTACGTATTGTTTCTTCAAAATGTTTATCTGTTTCATGAAAACGTCTTTCAAGTTCTTGACTCTTTTCTAATGATTCCTTTGCTACAGCACGATATTTAAGTAATTCAACTTCTAAATCTTGAACTGTTCGTTGTAATTCTATTTTCTAAAAATAAAAAATGATTAATTATTTGAGATTAGTTCGTGTAAATTTTTTTAAAGAAGAATCTTACACGTTTTTGTTCTTGAGATAAAGCTTGTTCTAATTCAGCTATTTTTGCTATTCGTCCTTTATTTTCTTGGGATAATTGATTATTAATATTAACATGTAATACTGATCGTTCTGTTAAATCATGTTGCATTTGTTCCAAAAACTAAATATATAAAATTTAATATAAAAAGATTAGGTTTTTTATATTTATTCATTTTACATATTGTTTTTCTTTAAGTTCAGTTTGAAGTTTATCACTATTTGATTGACATGTTTCAATTTGATTTAAATATTGATTATTATCGTGTTGTAATTGAATTATTGTTTGATGAGCTTTTAATAAATTTCCATCATTATTTGTCTAAAAAAGAAAAAGAACACATATTGATTCTCTTGTAGAAATAAAATTTGTTTTAGTATATACAATCATTTGTTTTTGTTCATTATGTAAAATTTCAATTTGTTTATCACGTTCAGCTATATCTCTTTCATATTTTTGTTGTAAATCAGCAAGATTTGTATTTAATTGACGTAATTGATTATATATTGTTTGTGTATCATTATTTGATGATGTTAAAGCTAATTTAAGATCACGATTGATTTCATCTTTTGATTTTATCTTTTATAAATAAGTACAAAAAAACAAAATTACAAGAGATAAATAAATACAAAGAACAATACCTCGTCTTTAAGAGCTTTATTCTCTTGTTGAATTTGTTCGAATTCCTTTTGAAGTAATGTTAATTTCGTATGAAGTTCATCACGTCGTTTAACAACATCATCCATTTGTTGAACATAATCTAATTCTTTCTGTCGATAATCACTTTGAAGTTTAAGAATTGTATCATAAAGAGCCTATAAATATTAATCATAATTATAAAAAAACGTCTTAATATATAATATTTAAATATGACTTTATTATTGAACAGTTATTCGATTTCGTTCATGTGAATGCAGTTTATTAAAATAAGTTTTGTTTACAATTAATGAGGAAAGATCCATCATAAGTGAATCATCGATTGTGCGAAGATTTTGTTCGTGATTAGGGTTCGATAAGAATGGTAAAAGCCTCGAAGAGTTTATTTTCATGCAGTATCTTTTCGGAAGTATGACCGTTTTACCGAATTTTGTGCCTACGATAAAGTGTTCATGAAAAGCCCTAATGACGCTATTTCGATCTGTAATTTTGCTTACAGATAGGTCTTTTAGTCATTAGAATGTTCTAAAAATTTCAGTCAAAAAAAACAATGATATTCTTTCCGAGAATGACACGCAGTTGAGCCCCGCGGCATTCGAGTCTGACATAAGGTACAAATTAAAGAAATACAAAAAAAAAGTAGTTTTATTTGAATAAGCTCACATTCACGTCAAAAATTGAACAGAGCTCTTGCTCGGGTGTGGATGTAGATGTGTGAGTGTGGAGTAGGTATGGTTACGTGGGTCGTGTGAATGTGGATGAATAGAACATTCACATCTACATCCACACCCACGTCCAAGCAAGAGCTCTGTTGAATTGTTTTAAGTGAATGTGGTCCTATTCAAATAAAACTACTTTTTTTATTTCTTTAATTTTTTTTCCTTACATCAAGCTCAAATTCTCTGAGCTCAACTGTCGGACGGCTCACCTGTCGGTGTATCCTTCCTGAGATATCTGAATGTTGAAGACAATCAATTTTCAGATCTTCCCACGTGCTACATGATCTTTTTTCTTTGGATAATTAATATATGAAGAAGAACATATTTTTTGGACAAAAACTTTTAGGACATTCTAATGAGCATGAAATTTGTCTGTAGCAAAATTGCAGACCAAAATACTGCCATTCAAGTTTCTCATGGGTACTTCATTACAGGCAAAATACTTAGTAAAACGGTAATCATTCCGGAAGAACAACAGATGTCAACGAAACCTTGTTGGCACTTCTCAGTATTATCGGACTCCACACGTAAACAAAATATCAACTCCATCGGTAATTCACATTTGAAGGTCTCCTCTTGTTAGAGATAATAGTTTAGAATACTAGACGTTCTAGGAAGTTTTCCAATTCTTCCCTAATTAAATAAAATTCCCACGTAACTTAAGACAAACATCATAAGCGCGGTAATGAGAATGGAGACGAATTAGAGATGAATTAGGAATCAATTGACTTTTTGTCATGATATTACATGTCAAAAAAGAAAAAGATTTACGTAGCTGAATAGTTTCAAAGTGTTGAGTTGTATTCAATTATTGAAATTTACAGAAAAATAGAAAAAATGATTTGGAAAATAGAAGACAATTTGAACTTATAGTTTGTCAAAATTTTCTCGCAAAACTTCTCCATCGAACATCATTTTGTAAGAACACTTATTTTGAGGTTTTTTTTTATGAGATTCTCAGCCTTATAAGAAATCCTTTCAACTACTTGAGTTGTTCTCAATAAGAATCATTGAAAAGAAAAGTTAACTGCTGTAACTAGTGCACCTTCAATCGAATCTATTCTCAAATTTGAGAAAACTGAATACTTTGTTAAAAAATTTTATCACAAAAATGATCATTATCATTTCTAAAGATTCGTTTCATATCATACACTATATTTTTGTTCTCTTTTTTCACTTTGTTCTTCCAATGTTGCAATAGTCTTTTCATAATCTTGTTTTTCTTTTTCCATTTGATTTTCCATATCAATTTTAATTCTTTCTAAACGAGCCAATTCCTAAAATAAATTCTATTATTTTTATTGTAAAACAATAAAATAAATTTTATTTACTTGAGGTAATTGTTGTTTATCTTCTGCAACAGTTAATAGTTGTTTATAATGTTCATCTTTTTGAATTGATTCTTTTTTTAAGTCTTGACATTTTTTAGTTATTAAATCTAGTTGTTCACGTAAACGAACGATTTCAAGCTCTAATTGATTGTTTGTTTGATGTAACCAATCAATTTTTAATTTTAATTGTGTTGTATTTAAATTATTTACATTTGAATCATTTGTTATAAGAAATTCTTTTTCACGTTCTTTTAATGTACGTATTTCTTGTTCAAGTACTAATTCACGTATACGTGCACGTTCCATTTCTTCATTCCAATGACTTTTTTCTGCATATAAATATTCATTTTCTTCGTAAATTGTATCAAATTCTTGTGTACGATTTTTTAATGTTTGATTTTCACGTGTTAATTCATCTAATTTATCATGTAACTGATCTAATTCATTTTGTAATTCTTCAATTACTGGTTGATTTTTTATGGTAGTTAATGCAAAATTTGTTGATGGGGAATGTTGAGATGGTGAAACAGATGATGAAGCTATATTAAGATCTTCAATTGAACTCATTATTGAACTTGTACCTTTTTCGATTTCAATTTGTAATGTTTGTAATTCATATTCACGTTGTTGTAATTTTTGTTCTAACAGATGGACATGTTCTCGTAATTCAGCAATATCAGCTGATGTTGACGAAACTGGTGTTGGATAATGAGATGTTATTTCAAATTGTCGTAAATTTTGGATTGTTAACAGTGAAATATTTTCGTCACCACGTCTTAGTAGACCTGTTGATGAAGGTGGACTTATTGCTGAATGTTGTGATATTGGTGAAAGTTGTAGTTGTCGTTGAGACGGTGGATGAGGATAGACACGTAGCTAGAGAAAATTATTTTTATTTTATGGTTTTTTACGTCTTCTATGTGTGTGCGTTTGGTGTAGATTCCAACTTTTATTAACGGATGATAGAATAATATAAGAAAAAGAAAAAAAGAGAAGAAACAATATAATAAAAATGATCTCGTAGGTTTCTTTTTTTTTTTAATTTTTTTCTAAGAATAAATATATATACTCATTTTCTTCTATTCTCGTGTTTGAGAAAAGTGGAAAGAAAAGAAGTAGACAGAGGAGAATAATTGGTAACTGAATCAAAAAAAAAAATACTAACGAGACTATAATGTTACTTTTTCTTTTTTTTCCTTTTCTTTATGCTTCATACCACAAATAATAAAAAAAAAAAAGAATTCTTCTAGTAAGAGGCAGAATGCTTGAACACTTAAATAAATATATGCAACTTTTGTTTGACGTAGATATGTTGATTAAACTCTATTCAAGTATATATTACATGAGAAATCGATTTGACAAATTTCGGTTTTTTTTTTTAACAGTAAAGAAAAAGAATCTTTACTTGCAATTTAAAGAAATCCTAATTAACAAAATTGACATTGACAAGGTCGTTGTCTCGGTAAATCATATTACCAATAATCATGACATCACAAAAGACGATACATGGTCCTTTCTTTTTTTTTATTGCTCCTCATTCTCCTATTCATTCATGTTTGAGAAGCCCAATCATTTCAAGGTTCTTTAAATTGTCGAGTACAAATTAGATTACATATAGATCTATATGCATGTTGTTATAAAGCAAATATAAAGTAAAATGATTGCATATAAAGTGCTCAAAAAATGAACAAAAAAGATATAAGAATAAAACACGCATTCGTTTTCTTTTTTTATTCTTAATGACAAACCTGTTTAGGTGATGATGTTGGTAATTGACGTTGACGTAATTGAACTTCATTAATAAGTTTTTTATTTAGTAATCTTAATTGTTCACATTCATCAATTGCTTTTGCAAGTTTTGATTTTAAATGTTTGATTTCATCAATATTAATCATTTTTTTTAAACGATGATTTTGATTTGTTGCTTGAATTAATTCTTGTTTTAAATGTTTATTAGCTGTTTCTAATAATTGTACTTGTTCATAAACAGGATCACTTGTTTTAAAATCATGTATTTCAGCGTATAAACGTTCATTTTCTTTTAAAATAGCATCAATTGTTAATTTTAATTGTTGATAATCTTTTGTCTTTGTTGGTGAATCAGAAATTTCAGGTGCTTCAACAAGATTTTTATATAGAAGAAGTTGTTTGGTTGCCGAACGATGTTGTGTAGTAAGACGTTCATTTTCTGTTTCAGTTTCTTCAAGACGATGTTTAACTGAATTATATTGTTTTTCAAATTGTGTTCGAATAAAATCAATCTTAAGTGTAGAAAGAAAGACGAAAAAACCAAGAAATCAAATTATGTAAGTGAATATAATTATTAATACCTGATTCAGAAGATGTGAACGTTCATTAAGAAAAGATTTTATTTGATTAACCCAATCAAGTTGAATGAGATTAGAAAGATTTGCTTCATGAAGTAAATGAGCAATGTGAACAGCTGGTGAGCGATGTGGTTGATGATAATTATCATCACTAATTGGTACTAAAGAATTAGAAATAATGTTTTAATTATTAAAATAACTGATTCTGTATGAAGTCCTGCTCAAAACTTACATTTATCACAAAATATCTAACTACTTTACGATATTTTAAGGTAAGTATTTGAGCATGAAATATTAAGTTTTAAAATAAGTCATTTAATCTTAACTAGGAAAAATGAATCTTTTTCAAGAATAGTTTTCATTTCTTTTTCAAGTAACTGAGGATTAGACTATTGATAAATGAATTTCTTTTTTTTTTCTAATATTAGAACAAAAACACAAGATATATCTGACTATGTTAAACTATAATGTTTAGGTTTTGATACATTTTAAAATTTATTATAAGATCTATATTGAACTGATCAAAACAATATTCTATATAAAAATGACTAAAATACTAAACAAGTTTTATCTGAGTCTTATTTTATATCTTGGATATGACAAAAAATAAGTATGATTGAATTGTATTAAGAATTTGAAACTATGTTTTCTTATGTTGTCATATGTAGACTTCAGTATCGATAGTTTCCAAAAAATGTTTCGTTCTAGTCATAACATAGAAGACTAATTGAGTCAATCAAATATTTTTGTCAATTCTAATAAATTTAAATTCAAATAACAGATAAGTAGATGAATAGTTGCGACTATCTAATAAGAATGTGTACTTATGATATATAAATTTCTTATTCGATACAATTTTAAATATCAATCATCGAGATTTCACCTAGAACAAGTCGAAATGTTAAGAAAAATAATTCTAAAAAATATGAAAGTTTTTTTTTTTTTTTTCTAATTAGTAAAAGAAATATCAACAAAAATATCTAATATACATAAGAGTAGTTTCTCATGTGGATGTATATAATTATAAACTCAAAATCTATCAGAACTAAGTTTATCAGAAATTTAAAAAAAAAACCTATTGTTTACATAATTCTAGTTTATAGTAATTATGTTCGATAGTTTTTAAAAGTAGAACAAACATTGAAAGATTCTTTCATTTCTTGGAGAATATATTACTTCGAAATTCTTACCGGCAAGACTGGATAGAGAAGCTGATGCAACAGGATCAGTTGTTTTCGATAAATCTCTTTGTCGATTATGATTTCGTCTTGCTTTTGATACTTGTTGACTATCATTATCATCACCTTCTTCATCAGCATCTCGTTCACCAGCAGTAGCTTCCATACTTGCTGTACGTTTTTTTCGTCGAGTTCTTGTATACATATTGAAATAATGTTTGATAATAATCCGTATCGATTACAGTAGCAATGTTAGTTTTCATGAGCTCAAATTGTAATAATGAATGATCCGTGTTTCCTTTCGTATTTGTTTGTTGACGAACCACCTATTGGCAAGGTTTAACATCTTGACTTTTGTAAGACATTTCTTTTTAGTATTCACACACATATAGGCACACGGCAGTGAAAACAAAACTAACTATACAAAGCAGCACTTCTCGTTCATTCATAAAAAGACTTTCAAGAGAAAAAAAATCGAAAAGACAAATAATTTATATGTATGTGTACTGGTATATGAGAGATGTTGCACTTATATATACGGTGAGCTCGAATCGACGTAATATCAACATACACAAGAAGAAGAAAAGAGAGACAGAGAGAGAGAGAGTGAGAAGAATTTGTATAAGTGATCATTCAAAAAAATAAAAAAAACATACAGAAGGTGTGAGAGTTTGGACGAAGTTGTTGCTACCCTGTTTATATAAGCGAAGCTGCTCCTTCATTCTATCGTTTTCTTTTTTTTTTATTACTCTATTCATTAAAAACACAACCTTGTTCATCTCAATTAATGAGAACATGTTCATTAATAGTGTTTCTTTTATTTAAGGAAAAATGTTTTTCTTTTTTCTCTATTTTATTCACTCACTTTTATAAATAGATACAGAATAATTATATGAAAACTGGTGATATTTTCTTTCTGTGCAATAGTATTACAAGAACGGATCAACGAACATATTTAAATACATAATCTTGGATAGAAAAACAAACAAGTAAAAGTAAACTTAGAGACATGTTGAAAGTAAGATGCAAAGAAAAAAGAAACAGAACAAAAACAATATGTTTCAATCATTTTCATGATTATCAAAGGTTTTTCTTATAATAAATTATTTTATCAACAAAAAGATCTAGGAAGTTAGAGTAAATGAATGATTAATATATATATATATATGTATAATATCAGATTGTTTTTATATTAATGCCGACATTAGAGTTGAACATTGTCTGGACAACGATGTAGGATTATTAATTTATATCTTTCAAAAAAACTGATTTCTATCGACATCTGTCGAATAACGAATGAATTGTTATGCATATTTTCTTGGAAAAATCATTTCTCCGAAAGTTTATGATGAGAATGAATATCTTGTATGATAAAATTTTTTGGAAATATTAAACACATGTTAAGTTATTAATAAAAATCTTTAGTTTATAGTTGATTTATATATATATTGTGTTTTATTATTTAACTTTTCGATTTTGTAAATACACTACGTCTTTTTCCGTGACGTTGGACAAAGGCTTTTTTTGTAACTGTTCGTTTGTTGATTGTTCGAGATAGCAGATTATATTGAATGATGTCGGCATAACAATACCTGATTGACAAATACAAACAAATTGATTTCATGAATAATGTGCTGAAAGTAATGACTATTGGCAAATAAAAACAAAAAAAAAAGAAAGCTTCAATTTGCTTGACGAGAAAATTTTAAAATTGATTCAACTGCCATATTTACAATTGATGTTACTTGAGTCAGTTGGAAAGAATCGATGCAGATTTTTATCAGTTCGATAGATGAATCTTGATACCAAAAATAATTATGATTGAATATAAACTTGTTAGCATAGATTGTATTAAACTTAGAATGTGACTATCATATCGAACTTTGTTGAATAACAAAATAAACTATATGAGTACATGCAATTAGTAATATTCTTATCAGTTAAGTAGAAACCAACTATAATGTAAACACAGTCCAAATATTATTGATAATTTAAATAAAATTAGTATATAGAAATCATGACTTAAAATCATTCCTTAAAATACAAGGCTTTAGAAAGTGAAGAGTAAAAGAGTAAACTATTTATTCCTTGTTGTTACATAATAATCATTGTTTTATAACGAAGTCCGTATTTACCTGTTGGTTATATGGACATGCTTGAATAGTAGGATTGATTGAATAAATATAGCTGCGAGTTGAGTGTATTTGTCCACCATATTTGAAGAAGATGATATGTTTTTTTTTAACACTTATAAATACTAACTAGAGTGTTTACAAGGAAAACATGTAATAAGTGATTGATATTTCGAACATAAGCTCGCAAATCTCATAACATTGAAATAAATTATGAAATAGGAGTAGAGAAAGTTATATTCAATGTATGATGTTAAAAATCGAGTGAATTTTAGTGATTCATATTTAATTACAATAAATCATATTCGTCGATTATGTTCCATTTTAGTGAAAATTTTCGATCATTTCTTATTCTTTGAACAAAGAACACAATGTACTATACATTTCATACAAGATAGAGCACACTTCCATGCACAATCATTACTTCTTGCCTAGCAATGCATACTTATACATACTTTTTATATGGATGTATAAAAAACGTTTTCGAATAATATTAATCAAATTTAATATTTCATATAGTTTCTTTAGTACATTACTTTCTTACTCAAAAACCACACAGGAAATTATTAATTTTTCGATTATGAATAATGAATTATCAAGAGAAAAGTGTCTAATAAAATAAAAGAAATATCTTCTTTTGAAAAAGCATAAGAATAAATTTTCAATGACAGAGAAAGAATTTATAGAAAACAACAGACAAATGTAGAAATCTATTAAAATATAAGATCTATTTCATTACAGTGTTTGTGACGAATCAAAAGCAATTATTCAAGTTAGTTTCACTTATATTCTTAACTCAAAAGTTGCGAGCCTGTCTAGCAATCGATCGAAACAAGAGTCAAACATTGAGTATGACGATCTATTTTTTTATGTCAAATTTTTGTTATTTTCCAACTTATTTGCTTAATTTAGAGTATTAAAAACTGATGAAACCAAGATTTTTCTATCATCCAGCATATTGATCACTAATCGAAATACTTAACAACATGTATCAAAAATATAGTTACTATTCATTATTAAAGTTACAGAACAAAACCACGAAAGGTAAGAACGATGATGATTTTTTGTTATTTTCTTAACAAAACACCAAATCAAATATTTGAAATAAAATTCTGTTGTGTTTTTACTCTTCTCTTATTTGCGGAAGTAAAAGAGTTGATTCTGTATTTTTGGATTAGAATACAAAACAAATTTATACTCAAAGTGAATGATAGGCTAAACAATGATGATTATTAATATTTCAGAAAAGTAGGATTGTCGACGTCAAGGATTAATAAGTATATATTACTTCTATATTTTTATATAGATAGTTATAATATTTATAAATGTCAATCTCTATGCATACATTAAAGATAGTTAAAATTTTCAAAGTTGAATATACTACCTACAAAATTCATTAAAGAGTCATCAAATGTAAAATTAAGTTGAGAAAAAAGTCATTGTAAATTTTAATTTTGACGTTGACAATGTTATGTTAGTTGTATCAAGAAGTCGAACAGGAAAATTCTGGCAGAAATGAAATTGTCATAATTTATCAAAAGAATTGTTTCTTAAACTATGTTTTAAATCCTGAAATAGACATCACAAGGTATACAATTTTAAGAAGAATATTTTGATATCGTTAGATTATGGAACTATGGATATTTAAAAATGTTTTGACTTTGATCTTTCTTTTTGTCTATCACAAATAGATAATCAAGTAGCTTTTAATTATTAAAATTTTATACGAACGAAAAAGTTTTGTTTAAAAAAAAAATCAACAGTTTTCTAGAGCATAAACTTTTGCATCGAATTAGTCTAGTGTTAGCTTTCAAAAAAAAACTATTTTTAAATCTTCACAAAATAAGGGCTCGAAAATTGCAAGATTTGCAAGTACATTTTTTGTTTTTATTTACGTTAAGTAATAAATAATTATTATAGAATGTGTTTGAAAAGAGACTGACATAAATTTCTAATTCTTTCATCATGTTCTGAAATTATTTGAGAAAAGTTTTCTTGCAATATTGCATTAAAAACTATTTCATCTTAAAATTCAGTAGTAAAGAAATACATCATCTATTAGGCACTGTTGTGCTATACCGTTGTTTCTATTTTCTATTTTGTCTACCATAATTAAAAGATTACTCATACATGGAATTCATAGTGTTCAAGTGTTGCATTGAGAATGTTTGATTAAACGCCGCTCTTACATCACTTTGAGAATTTTTCAATAGTACAGAGACTCATATCAATACGAAATAGTAACATTCATAGTCTATGCTGTAATTTACTCTAATATCGGCTCTAGATTAAAAATACGGCCAGCCTACGTCACTATACTGTCTCACAAAATCTCGCAATACTCATAGGTAAAGCGCAACTGATTTCTCTGTTTCTGCTCTTTCAGACAGAGAATAACTCATTGCACACTTCTATAGTCGGATTTCTTTCTGAGTGCAATGATGACATTTTGTTTTTCTAAAATAAGATGAAAGGTTTTATGAATTTTTGGAAATGTACTATTTGGAATAGATACTGGCAACTAATATTGATTCATCAGATTATCTTTAGCTATCATTCATAACCTGTCAAAGACGAGAAACATTCTGTTGAAAAAACTTATGGATACACTTTTACTTTAGATACTATCTATCATAAGTGTAATTACTATGAAGAATTTTATAACGGAATGGTATAAGTATACATGATAATTATTATTCTACAAATGAACAAAAATATGTGGGTGAACTTATCGATGATAAAAGAAAAGGTTAAAGTGTGTTCACATGGTCAAATTAAAATCGATATGAAGGAAATTTTCAAGACGATGGTAGAAATGGAAACAATATCTGCTGTTTTTTTGTTGGAAGAAAACATGATGAAAATTGAATCAATAATAAAATAGATGGACCAAGTATGTTGATGTAACTTAAAAACCTTGATTATATTTGCGCCTTCTTTTCCTGTACCCGTACAATAAATGTGAACAGTAGAACTTGAAATTAATTTTCGAAAAACAAAAGTGAATTGTAATAACTTTGTTAATGATTATTATTTCTTTCTATCCCTAATATTTCCAGGAATAATCCAGACA